ACAACAGTTAACCTCAGCTGATATGACATTCAAGCTTTACTTAACATGTTCAATGTGTACTCCCATTTGTGATCCCTTCAGCTGTGTACTTTGAGAAGGGAGAGTTTGAGAAGTGCCGAGAGCTGTGTGAGAAGGCCATTGATGTTGGCAGAGAGAACCGAGAAGACTACAGACAAATTGCGAAGTGAGTTCTTAATGATTACATAATTTCTAATAGTTCCGAAGTTGTCTTTCCTTTTTTTTTCCATGTTGTGCTCTAGTGAATCTACACATCCCCCCATCTGCCCCCTACAAGCTGAGGGCAAGATTGGCATTTTTTTGATCTGATGGGACTCAGAACAAATGTTGACGCCACAGAATACCAAACCCCAGATGTCAGAACAGTGTGGGGGAAGGGTTTTTCCAAACCTTTTCGACCAGCTGACAAGCACTTCTGGACAAGTATACTGGCCACTTGACGAGACAAATCAGCTGTGGTATATAAGAACCACTAGGTGGCAGTGTTTTTCTGTAGCTTTTCAATAAAAACTGGCAACATCTGATGTAGTGATGTTGAATTGGGACACAAATTACCTGTCCATTCAACTAGTTTTGCTCAGGGGCGTTAAGGTGGTTGTGTTTCTTTGATTTGTGTTAATTTCTTTCATAAATATAATCAAATCTCACTCGACTAAACTTGACTGGCTGTTGACCCTTTCAGTTGAGCAAATGAGAACGATTTCATTGTCATTATCCTCCTACTCTGTTTCAGGGCGTTGGCTAGGATTGGCAACTCATACTTCAAGCAGGAACAATACAAAGAGGCAGTTCAGTATTTCAACAAGAGTTTGACGGAGCATCGTACCCCTGACGTCTTGAAGAAGTGTCAGCAGGTGCAGTGCGACTGATATTTTTAAGTTCTTTGTTTTTTTTTCTCAGTTGTGTATGTTAGACCTGCATGTGAACAGTTAATGAAAACACAAGTGTGCACTTCACTTACACCTTGACACTCACAATTGCTTCTATAGGCAGAGAAGATATTGAAGGAGCAGGAGAAACTCGCCTACATCAACCCAGAATTAGCCCTGGAAGAGAAGAACAAGGGCAACGACGCCTTCCAGAAAGGTGCGTGTAATAGTTGTAGCACCTGTTGGTCGATTGTCATCTGATTCCTCTCTTTTGGAGTTGTAAGAAACTCGCTTATCTTATCTTATCTTATATTATATTATCTTATCTTTTCCCTCCTACAGGAGACTACCCCTTAGCCATGAAACATTACACTGAGGCCATCAAGAGAAACCCGCATGATGCCAAACTCTTCAGTAACAGAGCTGCCTGCTACACAAAGCTGTTGGAGTTTCAACTTGCCCTGAAGGTAAAGTTCTTCCTCACCCGGCACCTCCGTAGATCAGCTAGTGAGATTCTAACCTGACAAAAAAAACACTGCCTTTTTATTTTATTGCATTTTAAAAATGACCCTCGTGATCTTCTTTTGTCAGGATTGTGAAGAATGCATCAAACTTGAACCCACCTTCAGTGAGTAGTAAACTTTTTGATTACATATATAATGTAGATAATATAAAATTTAGATTCAGGACAAATCACCCTGATGTTACTGAACTAATTTAACACATCTGCCCACAGTAAAAGGCTACACGCGTAAAGGAGCTGCTCTGGAGGCCATGAAAGATTATTCTAAAGCTATGGATGCGTACCAGAAGGCTCTGGAGCTTGACTCTTCCTCAAAGGTATTTTACAGGTTACTCCAAAGTTCAGAAAAGTCTAGAAATGACAGGAGAACGTATCTGGAAAATCCCAGACATTTCAACGTTTACCTATACAGTGTGGTCCAAAAGTCTGAGACCACTCTCCCACTGCAGTTTGGTCGTTTCTTAGTTTTCAATATTTACTAACACAATCACCACAAATAAAACCCTAGTTACATTTTGGATTTCCTGAAAAGTATTGTAAAAATCATTGTGACTTAATTACCTTCTTTTTTTCTTTTCTTTTTTTTTTTAAAGTAACCAGTTAATAATTCATTACTTTTCTAAAAAGTAACCAGTTATGTGATCACGCCATCACTGCTCAACTTACATGTGGTGACATTTTTGATCGTATACCATCAATAAACAGAGCATATATATTGTTGTGACATATGTGTTAGTTTTAGTGGTATTGTTGGAGGGGGGATGGTCATCAAAGTAAAATCTGAGCACAAAAATCTATAAAAGAAATTTAGAAGTTTGAGAAAGTAAGACATTTTGAAATACTCTGTGTCAAGTCTTAACAATATTTGCCAAGTAGTGATTAATTGGCTTTTCTTCATCATTTGCCTTCTCCACCATCAGGAAGCCACAGAAGGCTTGCAGCGCTGTATGGTCAGTCAGGCCATGAGGAATGACAGCCCTGAGGAAGTGAAGAAAAGGGCCATGGCCGATCCCGAGGTGCAGCAGATCATGAGTGACCCAGCCATGCGCATGATCCTCGAGCAAATGCAGAAGGATCCTCAGGCGCTTAGCGAGTAAGTTTACCAACTTTTCTGTGTGTTTCTGTCTCTGCCTGGAGTCAGTATTATACAAATAAACACAGATTCACAGAAATACATGAAGAATTTACTCTTCCTTTTTTCTTGTTCGTTCCTCAGCCACTTAAAGAATCCAGTTATTGCTCAGAAGATTCAGAAACTCATTGATGTTGGACTGATAGCCATTCGTTGATGAGAGACTGGAGCCAGATGTGTGAAGAAACTCCCAAGACAACAGTGGAACAACATGCAAAACCCTCCAAAATTTTACATCCTCTTTTCTTGCCTTCAAATTCAAAATGATATTGTTCTTAGTCTCACTGAGACTTTGTGTGTATGTTATGTTTTTTAAAATTTCACAACTTTTACATTGTGTGTAAGAACAGCATCTTGTTGTCACCTGGGAAACTTCAGGACTCCAGAAATCTTTCTCTGAAAACAATCTGGATTCATGTGTACAGATGCTTAAATACATCTTAAAATAAACATCACAATGCAGTGCACCGGTATGTTCAGTGTTTAAAGGGGAAATCCACCCTAAAGCAATTCACATATTCCTGTCACTTCATGAAAGTGTTTTTAAGGAAATGAAACAAAGAATAGAATTATTTCTACACTCAAAATCAAGATTGTAATGTAGATCACATTAAAATAGTCAACATAACTTTAATGCTCTCCTCTTGAAGTTCTACTGTCTGGTTGATATTATTGTTTGCTCATATCAGGAAAGTGCTCTGTTTCTTTGGTTGCAGTGGAGAGAGGATGAATTTAGATGGATTGCCTTTTAGAGTCAAGGGATATTTGGCCATGATAAGATTTTAAGGTTGATCCTTAATGGTTTATTAAATAAATTCATATGGCAATTTAAGCAGCCATGTTATTATTTCTGTTAGTCAAGAATGAAAAGCTTGGATTCAAAGCTTGTGCCAGGTGAAATATCAGTGTCAGTAAAAGTCACAATAATGCAGTTGATAATGCTCTGCTCTGTGAGCAAGAGCACAATGAGTTTACCTAGCACAACAGTCCTCGCAGGCTGTCATGATTTAGTGATCAGTGTTTATCTTTGTTAAGGAGGCATGTTGATAATCGTATAGTATAGATAGTTTTGGCTGGCTTCAAATTTTCCCTTCCCAAACCTGAAACTAGAAGGCACCTGTACAAAATGTGACATTTTGCCTGGCCTGAATATTTCCAGATAATAGGAACAATGTGAAGGTCAAAGGGTGGATTTACCTTTCTAAGCTAGCAACTATTGGTTAAGTAAAGCGGGTCACAGGTCTTTCACTTCATGATGCGTTTTTAATGTTTGTCAGCTCCTCTTAGAGTACTGAGGCTGCAGTACTACCTGTCACTACTTCCTGATGCATATTTCACTTGAGGCAATTCTGAAGAAGAGTTGTGCCAGCCTTTTTCTGATTTAAATTGTAATGCCCTATAATTTATTGGCTATCCACAAGATGTTGGAAGTTGTCCTCCTACAACAGCAGACTGCTCAGCTTCTGTTTCCAGAGAGGCAATACGTACAAGTGTTAATCTTGCTATTGACCATTAGGCCACATGTGGCTTCAGATACCTCAGTCACCACATTGTCATAGTATCACTGTGCTATGGTTTCCATGAGGGACTCAAATTTGTTAGAAATGACTTGTAAAACCTTTTGTTTTCTCTGACCTCTGGCACACAGCGCAGCAGAAATGGGGTGTGGGCAATGGCACCATTAAAGTCCCATTGTATTCATAAACTACATACAACAAATGTGTAACTCTCACATGATGTAAAAGAAACTTCCAAGACATGTAACATACTAATGGAAATCAGCTGTACTTTGAAATATACAGTATCTGAATGTATTATGAAGGTGGGTGGCGGCTTATTTTTGTCCTGTAAGACCAACAATGTTGACACTGAATCAATGCAGTAGGAGACCTTCATTTTATAGTAGGGTCTTGGTTAATGTGATTTTAACACCTTGCAATACATGGACCAATAAAACATACAGTGGAGAGATTCTTCATACAAACTTGTGTTGATAGTTGTACACTTCACCAATAAAGTATAAAAATAAAAACACTGGCAGCTACTTGTAGTGTATGGCAAATAGACCTTTGCAAAGAGTGGACATGAAGTTGAATGTGAGCCCAGTATCACAAAGGTCTGTATGGTTTTGTCAGTGTAAGACAGAACAGTGTAAATGCACAGACAATATGGATGCCAGCTGTCATTTTTCCTAACAGCAGTTAAAAAGTGTTGTGGACTCTGGGGGCCCACTCCTGTGCCACCCAAGGCCATGGACATACTGCCCTAAACCTGCAGTTTTATTCAATGTAATTCAATTATTTTGTTTTGTTTTGTTTGTTTTTTTTTTGTTTATTTACAATTCATTATTAATTAACTTTTTAAACTACACAAAAACAGGATCTACTGGACTTTTGAGTTCTCTTTAAACGTCGCTCCGCCCACACCGACGGTTCACGTGACTGACCGTCGCCCAGGTTGTGTCGAAAGCATCCTGGTGTTAGCAGCTAGCTAGCCTCTGACAATAAATACAAAGAGAGGTCTAAATATTTCATCATGGGCGAATCATTAACTCGACTCTAGTGGATACAAAGAAGATTAGAAATCACCTGAACTGGCATTTGCCAACATGATCTGACAGCTGGTATCTGAAGACATAGCGAACTAAACATTAGCCTTAGCCAGCGTTCAAACTTTGACGGGCACAGCAGCAATTCGCTAGCTAGCTGCTAGTTTGTGAATTTACTACTACTATACCAGCTAGCTAGGTGATGTGTATTGTTATTGTAGCAGTTATGCTAACCAACTAGCGCTGTAACTGTTTACACACTGACTAATTACGCGTTATTTTTTTTACCTGTAGTTTATGTAAAACTAGCCTTAGCGTCATTACAAAGAAACGTCAGCCAACTTGTGAATAATGACTAACGCCACTGTCAGGCAGCTAATGCTAACGTTAGCCATTTAAACTGTGTAAGTTACACTTAAAACTGTAACTAACGTACACAGTTAGTATAAATTAGTATCGACGACCCTTCTCTTAGCTAATTGTGTAATAAAGCCATCAGATAGTAAACATCTGGAATCTGAACAGCTGCAAGTCTGTTTTCTGATAGATTTCGGCCAATCACGAGATAAATAATGCGAAACAACAGGATGTCAAAGGCGTGGGGATTAACGTTAGGGCAGCAGTATTGTCTAGAAAACACAGCTGTCCGGTCAGTTTTATAATCCTTATCTTCTAGAAAATGCAGCTACAGTAGCTTCTTTTTTTTTTTTTTGCGTAGTGTTATATTTTGTAAAAGCAAATTGGCTACCCAGTTGATCTTAAATAGTCTGTATAGGTTAGAGTCCACTTTTCTTTAAGTTATGCCTGGGGACACATCTGGTAGTAGTGATGACTCCGATGCAAAAACAAATGAAAAGGACTGTACTGTCAAGCATCAAATCACCAATGGTAAGCAAAGTAAACTGATCAAGCACGTTATGTACAGTGTAACCAGAACAATAGAAACCATTGCATAATGTAATTAATTCAATTATTTAATGAAGACAGCAGAACAACTACAAAGTAGTGGTCTTAATAAGAAATACTTTCAGTCACATAGTTTGTACAAATGTATTGTATTGCATAACGTCATACAGGTGTTTCTGTTTTTCATCTCAGTGTATGTAGATCAGGGATTTCATGGTCTTTAGTATACACTCAAGTAATTTGTTTGACAAGATCCTAACCACCCATGTGTCAGGCTTTCCGAGCATTAGTGTGTCAAGCCTGAGAAGCTTGTGAACAGTGGATATGTGCGCTGCCCTCAGAAAGATGTTCGCACCGTGTTTAGTGCGTCAACCTGAATCGAATAAGGATCTTTTATTTTGGTTGAAGTGTTGAATGTAATAATCTTGAAGCAGGTTTTTATTGTTTTCTAATTTAAAGTATTGTAATTGATTAAAATAATAAAGCTTGCTATATACACTGCACAAGTTAAGGTGCATATTCCTTTGTGCTATATGAGGAATGTATAGTTTGATTCTTGCAGATCTGGCCAAACCGTAATAAATGATGTCACTCCTGGTTTTTCATGAGAAGTCACAGTAGAAATGTATTACTACACTTAATCTCTCATTGAATGGGCTGTAGATATCGATTGCAGTGCATAAACCATTTTATCGATAAAGAACAGAGCAATTGCTAATAGTGATGCTTCGGAAACATTAAGATAATTGAATATGTATTTATATTTGATGCATGACTTTCACAATTAATAACATTGTAAAAAGCTCTAAGATTATTTGTATTACTTTGTCATTAAAGGTTTTGTAGAATGGTCAAAGTCAAACAGTTCATGCATTGCTCAGGAGTTAAAACCTGGATCTCTTAAAAGTTAGACAGCTCTTTCAGCACATTTTAAGAGATGATAAAACACTTTTGTGTCTGCATGCCCTTTGAAAAAAAAAAAAAAGTCTAAAACGTGTTTGCAGGATACTAAAGCAGAAGAAATTGAGCACATGTAATGTTTGTTTTGATTGTGGTACTTTCTTTTTGTCACTAGCTAACCTCACAGGTCACACTGAGAGGGTCGGCATGGAGAACTTCGAGCTGCTCAAAGTCTTGGGGACTGGAGGTAAGTGTCCACATGAAGCACGAAATATATGAAACACAGTTGTTATTAAAGCTGAAAAAAACTTGAGTAAAATGTCATTATGAGGTATGGTAAACGAAGACAGACCATAATATATCTTAAATATCTTGAGGGCACGGTGATTTAAATTGACTTTCGTAGACTGTAAAGAGAAAATGCCCCTGAGGAGTTAAATGCTGTGGTAAAACCTGTCTCAACATTTGTTTCCTGATTTGGGAGTTTCAAAACATCAAGGCAGTGAGTAGTATGTGAATGTTTGGGAGGCAGACCATATGCTGTAGATATTGCTGTTATTAGATCTCATCCATGCTAAATACCTATGGGAGAGCTTAAGAGGTCGTTTCTATCAACAAAAAAACCAACACCTAATTAAATGTTGTGTGCAGGAATGTTTTTGCATATATTCGGGTGATTTCCAGACACTTGAAATCATCTTTTCGCACCTGTTCACCCTGTGCTCATGTTTTGCTGTGGCCCCAGAACCAATTAAGGCACAATCTGATGGTGTTTCTTAGTTTGCCGGTGGTTGTTTGACTTTCTGATGAACAATTCTTTGAATGACTTGAGGAAATATTTGTTTGTCTTTGTCTAGCTTATGGAAAAGTGTTTTTGGTCAGGAAGAACAGCGGTCATGATGTGGGCCAGCTATATGCTATGAAGGTGAGACCGTTGGTTGATGTATTGAACTAAATGTGATCATTTCTTTGATAAAAATAAAAATCTTTGGGTAATGTTTTAAATACAAGATGGGAAATCTTTTAAAACATGTTTTATGTGAATGATTAACTGATTTTGCTTTTGTTCAAAATTGATTTAATACTTATTTTAATAGTTGCAAACTATATGATGAGTAAAGATGGACTGTGCTGCCATTCACTGAAAGTTTACAGAAGGAATGGAGAAAAATATATTGAACTACTTTGAGCAGAATTTTCTCACAGGCAGATAATATTTTAAATGTGACGTCTCTTTTAGCAATATGAATATACAGTACACTTTGCTTTAACCTAATGTAGTATTTTACTTCATGTGGTCTTCAGAATTAACTCCATTCAGGATGTCTGAATTTAATGTAAGTTTATTTTGATTGTTACCTTAGGTATTAAAGAAAGCAGCGATTGTTCAAAAGGCAAAGACAACAGAACATACCCGCACTGAGAGGCAGGTGCTCGAGCACATCCGCCAGTCTCCCTTCCTGGTCACGCTCCACTATGCCTTTCAGACGCAGAGCAAACTACATCTCATCCTGGGTGAGTGGTGGAGCACTAGAGCCAAATATAGGAAACTCTTGTCTCTTCAGTCTTGAAGTGCTGAATAGATGTTCTCTTTATGTTTCTGTCTATTACTGTATGTCTGTTTGTTGGCCTTTTGTGCAATATGTGTGTGTGTTTGTGTAATTTCTGTATTATGTCTATTCAAGCTCCCTGTGTATTTGTCTGTGTGTGTGAGTGCAGACTATGTGAGCGGTGGGGAGATGTTCACTCATTTGTACCAGCGGGATCACTTTCCTGAGGAGGCGGTGCGGATTTATATCGGGGAAATAATCCTGGCTCTGGAGCACCTGCACAAGGTGGGTGTTGCTGCTTCCAGCTCGGTAACTTAAAGCCGCATTCATCGAATTTTGGACACGGGGGGAGAAGGAAGACAAATCGAGCTTACAGAGACAATGCACTGACATAATACATTTAGAAAGTACTTACAGCTGATGTGTTGGCCAGCAGGTGCCTCATTACACTAATTTAACAGACACAGAACAACATTATCACCTCATTTGAGTCGTGTCTCTGGCCACCTAACAAATGTAAATACTGTTTAGAGTACACTCCTGAGGTTAATTAGCAGCATTCTGTTACTTTATAAGTTATGACCTTTAGCATTTAAACTAGATGGACAATCCAGCACTAAAATGAATAGAAAAATGTTTGAAATAGTAGATTTTTCTGGTGGAAAAATAACCATTTACACAAATTGTCCAATTGGCTGAAAACCATAAAGTTGACTTTAGTATTTTGTTCCTTTGGATAGCATCAAATAAAACCGTTCTCATTTCTGAATAGGCTTGAAAGGTGCTGGTATTACTGGAAATAACCAGCGGATAATGGGTCATTTCAACTTTTTTTTTTTTTTTTTTTGTAAAGATGTTGTATGTTCTGTTTTCACTGCATGCCATCTCTGTTCACAAATACTGCACATACCACGACTGTAACAGGTAAGATTTCATTGTATTTGTTTTTGTGCAGCTTGGGATTGTGTACCGAGACATCAAATTGGAAAACATTCTTCTCGACAGTGAAGGCCATGTGGTATTGACAGATTTTGGGCTCAGCAAAGAGTTTTTAGAAGAAGAGGTATGTGAACACAATGCCACAACTGAACCATAGAACTGTGTGTGTGTGCATGTGGAAAATGGTGCAGGCATTGTGTGTAATGTTATCTTATAACAATATTTTGTTCATAGAGGATTTGTTTTTACAAATGTACATAATCTCCCCTTTGTCCTCATTCCAGAAGGAAAGGACCTACTCTTTCTGCGGCACCATTGAGTACATGGCGCCTGAAATCATCAGGGGGAAGACGGGACATGGCAAGGTAGATGTATAAGAGTAAAGACAGATATAACAAACAGCCAGACTTCAGATTCATGTCTGAATTCATCTGTTGCACAAAGCGGTTTAGTTCTTGACTATCTTAAACCGGACTTTGGTGCAATGAATTCTGGTTAAATTAAGACTTTTTCAAAATGAAAAAAAAAATCACTGTGGTCTCTCAAAACTCTTTCCCTCCCCTTTGCTCTCTCCATAACAATGTTAACAAACCCCAGATTGTGAACTGTGTTTTCTTGTTTCTGGTTGCTGAGTTCTGCTGGTCAGCGCCGGTGTCATTGTTTGTTACCATGGTAACATGGGTCTTACATCTGAGTTAGCCTGGTGGTAAGATTTCAAATGTTTTTGGTTTAAAATGAGTCAGTCTTTATTCTTGTGAAACAGGCTGACTTGCGTGAGACTGATCTATGAGCAACATGATGACTGAACCAACACTGTCTCAAGTATCTCTGTGAAACTGGCCCATGGTGTTCAGTGTTCAGATACTTCTGTTAATGTTAAAGCTTTTCAGTCGAATATCAGGAGACTTAAAGTTCAGATTATATGTTGTTTATAATTAGATGTTTCAGGATGACAGGGAGATAAATTATGACTTAACATTTGGCTTCCAGTTAAATACTAAGTGCTGACTTTGGGTAACCACGCAACATGTACTTGAAGGCTCTACATTAGATCAAAATTTCAGTTGCGATTTTTCTGCCTCCGCGCCATCGACAGCCAGAGTCGTTTTCAGGTTGTCCATCCGTCAGCCACATTCTCATGGACACGATATCTCAGTATTTACTCAGTATTTGCCCTCAGTATCTCACATTTATTCAAGGATGAACTGATTACATTTTGGTGCTCAAAGGTCAAAGGTCAAGGTCAGTGTGACCTATCACTCCAGACTTCACAGCATTTATGACAAAATGTGACACAAATGGTTCATGTTTTCTATGACTCTGATAAGCAGGGATGTAACCTGGAACTAGTGTGTTTTTTCTAGTGTCAGTCAGTCACATGACAGACAACCCAGGGTGCACTGACAGATTGAATAGGCAGTGGGTGCATCAACTGCACCTATTTTGTTCTCTTTCTTTCAACTATTGTTCTTTAAGCCGTCTCTCCCTTCAGTCGGTAGATTGGTGGAGCCTTGGGATCCTGATGTTTGAGCTGCTGACAGGAGCGTCTCCTTTTACCTTGGAGGGAGAGAGGAACTCCCAGAGTGAGGTGTCAAAGTGAGTGATGCTGATGTTGATTGAAATCTTAAATTAACTCCTCATTCTCCAATTCATTAAAATGATTTCAGCCATTGTGTTCTAGATACTATTTACCTGACTTGCAGTTAGATAATTTTGCATGAGATTGTTCATAACACGATGAAGACCTTAAAGCCTCCTCCATCTCTTCGCCACTCTTCACTCAGACGTATTCTGCGCTGTGATCCACCGTTCCCCTCTATGATTGGACCAATTGCTCAGGACCTGCTGAGGAAACTGTTGGTGAAAGATCCTCACAAGAGACTGGGCTCCGGACCGAGAGGGGCTGAAGACATCAAAGCACATCACTTCTTCAAGGTCCTACTTATCTTCAGCTGCCATTTGCTCTGATATCTCTCTTCCCCTGTCACCTTTTTTTATTCATCCATGACTCCCATCTGCTTTTGTTTCCTAACAGGGACTGAACTGGGCTGACCTATCACAGAAGAAGCTGCCAAGTCCATTCAAACCGGAGCTGAAGAGCGAACTGGACGTGGGAAACTTCGCTGAGGAGTTCACTGGGATGGATCCTGTCTACTCTCCAGCAAGCACGCCTCCAAGCACTGACCGCCTGTTCCAGGTCAGTCCCTGCTGTGTCTCCTCTAACACTTGTAAACGTTTTCAAAATACAACACCTGTAACCACCAGCTAAAAAAAAAATCACATTTGGATATAGTAGATGGTAGTTGAATTAATAAATCGTTTGATTTACTAAACGGTCTCTTAGATCTCTTAATGTATTTTCTATTAATGCAGTTTTAATGCAGTCAGACCACTCAACATGTATTACCTCCTCATACATGCAACATCTCTTCTCTGTTATTTTAGGGTTACTCCTTTATTGCTCCTTCCATCCTGTTCAATAAGAACGCGGTCATGGGAGACTTTGTAGAAACCCAGATTGGTGCCGATCGACCGGGTTCGGCTTCTGTCCAGCGCAGCGCAATGTTAGAGGTATGGATCTTGGCTTATGATGCTGTTTTTGGACAAGGCTGAAGGGATCGTAGCATCAGTTATTGTTCTTTATTTTATGGGAGAGGTGCAGTCTTGTAAAACCATTGTGATATAACCAAAGTGTCTTTTGTCATTTTTGAAATCTCTCTGGTTATATACAGAGATAAAAAGGTTCAGCTGTGTTCAGGGCAGACAGGAAGGAAGAGAAACTTGTTCATTTAGCTGAGACTCCTAACCACAGTTTGTCAATGTGATTTTTATCACTTTAGACTGCATGGTATAAACTGAAATCAAACTGGAGCTACAATGTTGTTTTCAACATTACAGAGTTCAACTGAAGAGAAATCACACTTTGTAATTTACTTTGTTTTGTTAACTTAACAACGCGTGTGTATCACAGCTCATGATGCAAAGAAAAGGATAATAATAGATGATAAATACTTGATTATACTTGATATGTTAACCAGCCCAGTTTCATCTTTTCAGGTACATTAATATTGACTTTTCAGCTTAAAACAGAAAATGAACACACCATCAGTGTGACTCACACCGTCCCTTCTTTGTCCAGGAATCCCAGTTTTTCCTTCACTATGAGCTGTGTCTTCACGGGCCACCCCTAGGTGAGGGTAGCTTCTCTGTGTGCAGGAAGTGCAGACACAAGCAAAGTGGCCACGAGTATGCAGTCAAGATCGTGAGCCGCAGGTGAGTGGAGATGTGACGCTGCTACACCATCCTAGTAATAGCACTGTGATTGTGTGCTTGACTGTGCTTCACTGTGTCACCGACCATCTGATGTTCAGTCACAGGATGTCCTTTGACATTTCTTCCCTCTGTTAGAATGGAGGCAAACACTCAGAGGGAGGTTGCTGCTTTAAGGCAATGTGAGGTTCACCCCAACATCGTCAAGCTGCACGACGTCTATACTGATCAGGTACAATGGAGGAATGTGTTCAAGTACTGACATGACATCAACACAACAACTAGTAAATATACTGGATGTACTTAGAAGGATGTAATGCCGGATATGAAGCGGCATGCAAGAACAGAATCATCACATAAATCCTTGTCTTTCCTCGTCTCCCTCTCTATCAGTACCACACATATTTAGTGATGGAGCTTCTGCGAGGTGGGGAGCTGCTGGAAAGGATCAAGAGGAAGAAACTTTTTGGCGAGGCGGAGGCCAGTCAGCTGTTACAGAGCCTGGTCTCAGCCGTCAGCTTCATGCACGAGGCTGGAGTCGTGCACAGAGACCTCAAACCAGAGGTGAGCTGCGACTGGATTAAATCCTGAAACTATACAGAATCCCCCACTTAAAAAAGACAGCAACACTCTTCAGTCATAATTCTGCTGTATCACATCATACTGGAATTAGAAATGCATTTCAATAATTAAAGGAAGCCACGGTGCGTTAAAGGCCTCATATTGAAGAAAGAGAGATTTCCACATTTAATTTATTATAAAGCAGGTTTACGTGCAGTATCAACACCTCCTCTGCACCTTTAGGTTGTCCTGCTCAAACTGGCTGAATACAGAGTTATAAGCGAGCAGTTTGATGTGTTGCTGGTGTGGTTATTTTACAGCAAAGTTTTCACAGGATTTAGTCAAGGTAAACATGGCAGACAACAGTGCAGAATGTCTCTGCGCTGCTGTTATCACACAGATATCCTGCTGGCTTCACATCGCTGTGGGATATAATTAACTGAAGGCTTTCATGTAGAATCAAGCAGCTGTTGATGACAGATAGTGCAAAGAATCACCCATTAACCTTTAGTTCTGCGCAGTGTTTTACTGAGATGCCTTTTTTCATCTCAAACTTTTACTTCTGATGCTGATACATATGCAAAAGTGTTTGATTAAAACTGCTTATCTACATTATTCCACAATTCCTGCACATTTTTTCTTAAGTATTGAGTAAAGTACTGAGAATCAACAAACGATGAATCATGGTTGAGTGACGTAGAAGTAGCTCTTGTCCTCCGGCAGCTAGTCATATTTTCCAAATGCCTTCTACTCCCACCTTTGCGCCACATGTGCTGAGCATATATTAAAGCCAGGAACATACCAACCTGTTGTATTCAGTAGTAGTCGTATTTAACAGCCTCTCCTCTGTCGGGAAAAGAAAAACGAGAGCAGATCAGCATGGTTTTTGTTTGTTTACCTTACAGAACGTGCTGTTTACAGATGAGGGGGCGGACTCGGTGCTGAAAGTAATAGATTTTGGATTTGCCCGGCTGTGCCCAGCAGGCAGCGCCCCCCTGCAGACTCCCTGCTTCACGCTGCAGTACGCTGCACCTGAACTTTTTGAGAGCGCAGGATACGACAAGGCCTGTGACCTCTGGAGTCTTGGGGTCATCCTGGTAATTTCGACTTTAAAACCGTGGATTCTGTCACATCAGTCAAGTGAACTGACGTACTAACGGCTCTCTGTGTGTTTCCGTCAGTACACCATGCTGTCAGGCCAGGTGCCCTTTCAGAGTGAGCAACGTGGGATGACCTCGTCATATGCTGCTGACATCATGCAGAAGATAAAAGAGGGTGATTTCTCATTGGATGGGGAGGCCTGGAAGGGAGTGTCAGAGGATGCCAAAGAGCTTGTCAAAGGTGTGTGATATAGTTTGTTTTTGTTGACAGTAGGTGCTTTGTTAGTTTCTTCCTGCTCTGTTTGAAAATGTCTGATTTTGCATCAGATAAATGTCTGCGTGTTTTGTCTTTGTCCCTAATTTCTTCTTCTCTTCTCGTCTGTCTATGATAAAAGGCCTACTGACAGTGGATCCAGAGAGGCGTCTCAAACTCTCTGATCTGAAAGAGAACAGCTGGCTGCAGGGTGGAGCATCCATGTCCACCACTCCCTTGTGCACTCCAGATGTGCTTGAGTCCAGTGGGCCTACTGTTCGCACCTACGTTAATGCTACCTACAAGGTACTTGCATTGTGTACTGAGAGAGGCTCTTAAAATAGATGTTGTGCATGTCTCTAATGTGCTTTCATCTTGTGGTTCATTTCCTTTTCTTTGGTCACTCTCCTCTCTCCAGGCTTTCAACCGTGGTAAGAGAGAGGGCTTCTTTCTGAAAAGTGTCGACAACGCTCCCCTCGCAAAACGACGGAAGCTTAAGATGACAAGCACAGGTGTAGAGACCCGATGGAGTTCATCCTCTTCATCCTCCTCTTCTTCCACTTCCTCCTCTGCCTCTGCCTCTGCCTCTGCAACAGCATCCAAAGCACAGCCAAAACAAACTGTGGCCCCAAAGCAGAGCTAGCCTAAACGGCAGGGGAGGGACCAGCTGGGAAATGAAGCAGTATGTACTTATACTGGCAACATGAAGTCCTCCAGTGCTGATAGGGTCACTCACTCTCAGAAAACATACTGACGACCAAAAGACTGGTTTTAGGGTAAGTGTTAGGTCTTCAATACAAAATTGAATTCCACTTTTTAACAGTCCAACACCTTCAGTAATTGTATCACATTTTCCCCAAAACCAAACACGTATTTTCCTCAAGCGGATGAAGAAGACGGTAGAGGTCTGGTTTGGTGTTTTGACTTGTACACAAATCTGTGGCCTTTAGACAAATTAATACTTATTCAGTATCTACTCACCAGAATTTGGTGAAATCACACACTAAATGTTAAAAATGAGACATTTACCTGTTTTCACTGTGGGTAAGAAACAGTGCCTGGCTACATAGGGATAAAGGGAAAAAGGAGCCATAAATGAGCAGAAGCCATATATACAGCAAAGCAGTGAATATATGAATTGAGCCGTTGTGATTATACACAAATTTGCACATAGCAAATAAACAGTCCTTCCAGGAATTTGCAGATTTAATTCTTTGATTGTATCGAATTATTTTTTACCTTTGCCACACGTATAATGATTGGCAGAAATAAAGTTTGGCCACAAGTGCTGTTGTGCCCCACGTTGGCACTCTGTTCTGTAAAAACAACAGTTTTGTGAAAACTGTTCTCCTTCTTTTGATTAGTTTAGGTTGGGCACTAGTGTTTGCACTATTTGCAAAGAATGTAAAAGATCAAATGGTCAAAAAGGCAAATTTCTGAAAGGACTGAGCACAGAGGGAAAAGCTTGTGGTCTGAACAACCTTGGAGATTGCGTAGGATGAATAATAGTGTAGTTGAAATGATCTCTATTTGATACAGGTTTTAACTGATGATCTTTAGTCCAGAGTGCATCTGCGGCTGCACCTCCATTACACTACCAGCTCTACAGACTGTGTGGAGCATGAGTTTTGTTAGCTGGCTCTGAGTAAGTGTTTTGATGAACAATCAGAGTTTGACTTGAAGTGGTCACAGTACTAACCAAGTGTCCAACAGTAGCACCTGTAAAAAGAGATGAAGACACAGAAGCGGTCGTGACATACAGTGTGATTTTCTTGTCATACTTTGCTGTAAATTTCTCGCATTATCGTGCTGGTCTGAAAACGTCTAGCATGCTAATCTGTCGTGATGATGAACTATAAGAATGTTTTTCTATATTTTGGTATCTTGGGTTTATGTTTTTTTATGCTACAAAGTGCAGCTGGAGTGTTTCCAGGCAGACTGGAGTAAAATCCATTGTGGTGACTTTGAGCGTGCACCGCCTCGGGCTTGAGAATTTTAAAAGGGTATTACAGTTTTCTGTTGGCCCATCAGACCAGCGCCGTATGCGGCTCCCCCAACAGTGAATCTGTTGCCTGTTGATGAAGCTCAGCTTGTTGTTACCTGGGCTGCAAAGGTCACCTATTTGTCTTTTTACAGAAGTGGTTTTAAAACAAATGGCTTTGAAATTCAAACGATATCACAGAATGAGAGACTCAATGATGACTTTCAAATGGCTCTTTTAAAACATCCTGTGAGGTCTGTTGTGTAGATACTCCTTAAATCCTTGTAAATCCTTGATTCAGAGCAAAAAAATACTTATGTAATGATTTAAAAATTGACAGCTGTTCTAATGGTATATCAGTCTCCAGATGTAATTATGTTTTTATTGGAATATTTTTTTTTCTTTTTTTTTTACATGTTGCACAGTCAGTTGATCAATTAAAAACATTTCAGCTTTAAAGGTGCTTTTACTGATATTTATTACATGTAATTGATTTTAATGCTGTGGTAATGGGATTATGATCATTTGGCTCCTGTTTTGTACCAGCACCGTGCGTGTGTGTGTGTGTGTGCACGCGTGTGTGTGCGTGCGCGTGCATGTGTGTGAGAGAGAGAGCGCATGAGTGGCATTGGGAGATTGGCTGTGCTGATGTTTCTGCACCAGATGAAGCATTATTGCAAGTAACTGTATTATTTTCTTGTTGTTTTCTGCCTCTGTCTGTTTAAAGGTAACTGGTTGTTTGTGTTTGAACATTGAATTTTTACTTAAACTGTGCTTTTATTGGTGTTGATATTCTTTTGATGTAGTAAATGATATTTTTCTTTCTTTTGTTGAGCATTACTATTTTACTGAGATGCACTGTCACTGATGTCGTAACTGGGAATTTATCTTTTGCACCAAGATTTTTTGTTTGGTGCAAAATAAACATTACTTTTAAATAGATGGCTGTGTGTTTTGTCTTTTGAGTGTTGTAACTGCTCTTTAAATGGCTGTGAGGAAGAGTTCTCATTAATGTGACACTGTCTGCTCCGACTACAATGAGATGCATTAATACTGACGGTGAGAGTTATTGGTACTAAATGCAAACACAATAAATTATACAGGAAGTTTGATAACCCTTCCTCTGAGAAAAGCTATTCCAAACGTACGTTTTCATAACAGGAGGGAAAATTTCTCATTTAAATTCAGCGATGCTTTAATGAATGTCAAAACAAGAGGTAAAGTTATCAGTCAGCTTCTTTTGAAATGGTGGTTGTGCAATTGCCGGATGAGAAATTCTACCACAAGTAAGTGATCAGATCAGATTGTGAAACCACTAACGTTTATAAAGTAATGAATCTATTAAGTTATTCAACTTTATCTTTAACTCCCCACTCAATGCCTCCAACAGCATCTGTCTGCAATAAATGATTTAAGTGATCTGTTTAAGTAAACTAAGTAAAAATGTATTTATATATCAGATAAAAAAAAAATCATAAGTGCTTTACATCATAAAAAAGTACAAAAGTTCAAGACATACGCCGATAAAAGCAATAAAATAAATAAAGAGCACTGAAATAAAAAGGAGGAGGTATTCAGACAGACTGACCCACCATATTTTCAGCTGCTTCATGAAGACGTCACAGGAGTCTATGGGTCACAAGCAGACGGGGTCGGGGTGGGGGTGTTCATAGTTTAGGTGCCACAGCTTGAAAACCTCGGTCACCTCTGGTCTTACAGCAGGTTCCAGGGACGGACAGTAATTTCTGTTCAGTAGAGCTGACAGGGAGGAGCTCAGCAATGTGTGGGGTGTTTGGCCATGTGAGGCTCTGAAGGTGAGCACCAGTATTTTAAAAGGGATGCTGAATTTGACTGGGAGCCGGCGGAGGGAGGATGAAACGGGTGCGATGTGTGATCTCTTGCTGTTTGTGGTAAAAAGCCGGGCAGCTGCAGTTTGGATGATTCAGAGGCGCTTCAAAGAAGTTTGATTCAGGAAGGAAAAAAAAAAAGAGCGTTAGATTAATCTAAAGGAGAAGGAATAAAAGTGAAGTTTAACATGCGTGATCCTGCTGCAGCAACAGGCAGGGCTGCACTTACTGCCGAGCTTTATTCTACGTCTGTTCAGTCATGTTCTTAAACTTGACCTTGGTGTCCTTGAAATTCCTGAGCTTCATAACTGATGAAACTGGAAAAAAAACCTGCACTGTTTCTAATATGAATGTGTGAGGTGTCAGGGGCAGGAAGTCACCAGCGTCTTTTAACACTGTGATGTTTTCTTTGCTGTCATCCTGTTATCACTGTTCCTTCTGAGCCTGTAGCACGGCTCAGCTGCAACTCTTTTTCTTAATCAGTTTTAATATTTCTAGCAATGCAGCTACACAACCTATCCTGTGTAATGAGTTTATTGTACCATTAGGTGGCTGCTGTGCCCTGTCCTCTGTCCTCTGTCCTCTGTCCTTAGTGTCCTGTTTTCTGTCGCTCCATCTTGTCCTGTGTCAGGTGTCCCCTGTCTCATCTTGCTGGTGACAGATATTGACATGCCAGCGTGCTCACTAGAAGTCAAATCTATGCTCTTTCTAAAATGTCTAATACTACATTAGTTGATTATTCTATAAATGCACTAATCTAAATGATGTGTCACATGACACATGTCTGTGATACATGTCAGTGCCACAGACTGTTACTCTCCACATTTCCCCACCAGGATCATCACGAGGTCACACAAATGTTTGAAACATAAATCAGCACAGGAGACAATGAACAGGACACAGGGCAGGACAGACAAGGACACAGTGTCCATCTAATGATACAAGACCTTCATTACACTGAATTACACCTCCTCACTAAATTACAGCCTCTCTCATGCACAGTGTAGTGTATGAGGTTTGCCGAGATGAGTGAAACACTGATGCCATTGTTTTCAATACAGCTTTAGTGTTCTTATTTCTTACTCTGAAAAATTAGAAGAAATTAAATAGTTGAATGTAGCGGGGTCCTAGTTACTCTACCCTTTCAATTCATATGTAACACAATATTAAAATACATAAAAGTTTATGTAACCACAATAGAAAAGTTACTGTTCCTAAACCTTTTTGATTACAGTCATCATACTGGTCTCATTTATGTTTTACACCCAAAAATTTAGAATGAATATGAGTGTACTATATAGAATAATATAATAATAATATAATGGAATCTGAACCAAAGCTACAGAAGCATAAACTAAATATTTTTGCCTTCCTTTTTTTTCTTTGACATAGAAAAGGGAATAAGGCCTGTCACAGCACCTTCTTAGTGAAGCCATAGCTACAAGTCTGAACCAATTCTGTGTCAGAAGCTGTTGCAGTGATATGAGGCTCCTGAAATCCTTTGCACAGATAGAATCAGGAGACTTGGATCTTTCAAACGATGTATAATTTGTCAAGATCGTGTGAAGATTGAGTCTGGCACAGACAAAAATACGCCTAAAGTACTGAGTGCACCAAGACCAAAGTGTCCCACGGGTGGGATGGCGTATTAAAAAAATTAAAATTTGACCTGATGTTGGCAATAGATTAAAAGTCAGGGGATCTCATTTTTAAAAGTCATTACTTTTGGGATCATAAATGTATGAAGCACATTTCATAGCAGCTCATCCAGTAGTTGTTGAGACGTTTCCTTGATTGTGAGAAAAACTCAAGGATCACTAGAGTCAGTCGGACTCATCCTCTGGGAACCATGAATGTGTGAAGTCAGACAGTTTGACCTGCTGGCGGTGCTAAAGGAAAAGTCAGGGAGTCACCAGTAATTGGGACGCATCCTCTGGGACCATGAATATCTGTGCATACAATTCATGGCAGTCTACCGGACAGCTGTTGAGTTGTTCCAGTCTAGACCAAAGTGGTGGGTTGACAGACATTTCCAAAACTAGAGCCACAAAAGCAAATCTTATAGTGGTGGTGATGATGCATGTGACAACACAAGAGCAAGGAGAGACCAATAAAACTGATTGGCATGCTTTGCAGGCTGTTCATTGATTGTTGGCAGCAGATGAATCCCCTGCTGAGCCTGCAGGCTAATCAAACTCTTCGCTTCACATATTCTACAGACTGTGTGCCGCAGCAGAGGCCGCTCTTATTGGCAACGCATCGCTCACAAACAGCTGCACTTTCTGAAGGGCAAGACTTTTGTCTCTGCAGGAAGAAGCAAATGTTTACTCATACAAATCACACAAACCGTTGGCATGGCAAACTGAAACTATGTTTAGCTTTGGAAGGAATTAAATATTGATTAGGAGGTGGAATTAAAATGTCATCTTAAACATATTAACAGCTCCACAGACACCTATGAAAGTGCCATAAAAGCTGTTATTAGCTTTCCGGTAACGAGCGAACAAAAGTGTTTCAAAAAATAAAGTCCCCTGAGATGTGATTTATTTACAGTTGTGGACAACATTTCTTTGTAATGGGTTTCTTTTCCTTGTTGTTTGAGATCCTGCAGCTTTAAAGGAAATAGCGTGGGAGAGCAGCTGCTTTTGTACAGCCACAGCTTTATGATAAAAACTGTACATTAAGTGTTTTAGCTGATGAGAGCGCTTAATGAAATATTTAACAGACTATTAAAATATGTGAGTCATGGTAATATGTGGAGTATGTCACAAAACGTTGCCTATCAAGAAGAGAGAGTGCTCTTATTAGTTCACCGATGAGCTTCATGAACTCTGACGCTGTCCATGGTCCTGAGTGCTGCACCATAAATCCCACACCACCGGGGGTCAGTAGGGTGCTTGGCACTGACAGCACGGGGGCCAAAATGAGCAATTGAGAACCGATGGATAACATGAATATAATGTGTCATTGAGTCATTAATCAAATCAGTCCCTGGGTGAATGATTTGCACAGAATAAATGTAATATATCGAGCATGACAAAGACAGATCTGGACCGAACACTTGCTCAATATCATCAATTACAGTCCGTACAAGCCTGGACGTGACCCAAGAACAGAGAGCTCTTCCTTCAGTCAGCAGCACACGCAGACGAAAAGGGGGAAATATTTACTGGGAGCACAATCACGCTGCAGGAATTCACTTATTGATCAGTTTCCATAGCAGATCACACGTAGCGATGATTAAAGTTCCGTAGTCGCGAAACGCTGCTGCTAATCCTGCTATATGATGCAAACTGTACGGAGATTTATGGGACAAGTAGATTCTTAAAGGGGCAGTTGAATAATGAAGATTTAGAGAGTTACGACTTTTGATATCAGACAGAAAACTTTTGTTTTAAAGATGCTACTGAGTTGCATTGTGGGAACTGTAGGATCCAGCCCTTTTGAAGCTTGATCCATTCAGAGTCAGGATACTGCAGCTGCTAATTCTGACAATTCTTATTTTAACTCTGTCTCAAACTAGATGCATGTGCAATATAAAATTCCTGGGATGAACCTTTAAACGAAAACTGATCCTCTTCTTTTTAAAAAGAATGCCTGAACAATAAAGCAAGGAGAGACATTAAACGTGAGTTTTTTTTAGCTGCATTATATTTTTGTTGGACTTTGTCATCGGTTCGAAGAGGTTTCATTAACCCGAGGGTCAACATACTTTCGTAGCACACAGCTTTAATTGAAGTTAGAAATTAAAAATAACCAGTTAAGAGGTTTTCACCTGGCAGCGACAGTTTGCAAATTAACAGCGGTAAGTAAATTAATACACCCCAGCTAATGAGTGAATCCTCTTTCTTTTTGTGTTGTGAAAGCAATGGCACACTTACTCAGGCTTTATGAAATCGCTCCGTGAGCTTCTGAGTGCTGGCCAAAAGCCTCGTGCTGGAGGATGAGTAAGAGAGATCCTTTGTCGAGCATGTCTACTCCTGCCCTCTTACCTTTTGTCCAGCTCTGACTCAGTGGTATTTACACAAGCAACTTTAATTTTGCAGCAGCTAACATCTGTGAATAGATCTCAGAAAACTGAGTCATGCAGTGCAC